GGTCATATATCCCAGTACAGACCAGGAGGTAATTCTATATGGATCCTTCCCCCCCAACCCCTTATATGGGTTCACAAACCAATTCAGAGCATTCTAGTCCAAACCCTATTGTATCTGACCTCCCTCCACACAGGACATATAATCCCATATTGACCAGCACCCCTTTGTGGGCTCTTACAGAACAAAGCCATCTCACCCCTACGGACATATGCCAGGCCATATATCCCAATCCAATCTGGTCCATGCAATCAGGCGTAGCTTTTTAATGAGGAGAGTAATTAACCACAGGAACAATGTCCCAAGGACCGGGTGGATTCGCTATCGCTGATGATTTCTAAATCTCGCTCAGATGTTTTAAGACCCGCTCCAGGAATTGTTTGGGACGGTTCTCTGGCCTGTGAGATACTAGGTCAGCCTAGAAGATCACAATGGTCCCTTCTGGCCTTGGAATCTATAAAGCCCCCTGCTTGGGCCGATGTAGTCCCATATGGACCACAGGGACTCCTAGCCCAGTTCAGATCACTGAAACCGTCCCCGAGATTCTGTATAGATGGCCCCAGTCTGGTTATTTATGCTCCTCCAGATCAGGACTGGGGCTGTTTCGCTAATCCAGCCTATTTCAGGCTGGCCCATAAAGCCCCTACAGACCACCCCCCCACATACACTGCCCCAGCTCTGGGCCCTTCTGCTACCCCCCCACGCAGATTATTTTCTTCCCCTCCCCCAAGATTTTCAGCTTGCCTCCTCTCACCTAGGCGCTACAGACCAGGGGAGAGCATTATGCTCACAGTGCATGCTGGGACAGGCTGGGCATGGCCCAGGTGTGGGTGGGACACCACCTACCATTGGGGAGGGCGGCTTCCCAGCGGGATGAGGGCCCCTGAGGAAATGGGGATTGTCTTGCAAAAGGGTACAAATGCTTTATTTCAAAACAGAAGCATCAGCCCCAGCTTCCCCTCCTCCCCACATGCAGCCTGCAGACCATCCTCATCCTCCTTCCAGCAGTAGCTGGGCCCTGAACTCCAGAGCAGGGAGCTGGCGAAGATCCCAGTGGCCAGCCCCTATCTGGTGGTGGAGCTAGCACCTGGCTTCCAGCATGGTCTGGCTGTAACAGCGCCCAGTGATGGAGGGGGCAGTTCCCCGGCAAATCACTCTCAAGGTGCAAACGCGGCCCCTGAGCTCCCAGCCTACTTTGTCTCGCTGCTGCTGCTGCGGCTGGGCCTCACGGATGGGCGAAGGGGCCATGCCAAGCGCTCTCCCTGCCAGGTCGTTGCCAGCCTTCCGCTCGCCCTGCCTCATTGAGGGCCTTTTGGGGGTGCAGCGCCTGGCACGGGCAGAGGAGAGCACAGCACAGCATCCGAGCGGGGCTCTAAGGCCAGGGCAGGGCTATATAGTCCCTGTGGCTGTGGGCACAGGGCTAGGGCTCTCTGTCTCCAAGACCCGCAGCGGGCAGCGTCCCTGGCAGCCGGCGGGCAGAGCCCCTTGTCCCGGGAGTGGGTGTGCTGGTGCACCACCATGTTGGAGCGGCGATGGAAGCGTCGGCCGCACTGCGGGCAGGCGAAGGGGCACTCGGCTGTATGGGTGCGCTGGTGACGGATAAGATTGGAGCTGCGGTGGAAGCGTCGGCTGCATTCGCCGCAGGCGTAGGGCTGCTCGTCAGTGTGGGTGCGCCGGTGCACGGTGAGGACCGAGCTCTGGGCAAAGGCCTTGGGGCAGTCAGGGCAGCGGTAGGGGCGCTCGCTGGTGTGGCTGCGCCGGTGGGTGGCCAGGTGGGAGCTTTGGGCGAAGACCTTGGGGCAGTCGGGGCAGCGGTAGGGCCGCTCGCCAGTGTGGGTGCGGCTGTGCACCACCATGTCAGAACGCTGGGCGAAGCTGCGCCCGCAGTCTCCGCAGCGGTAGGGCGACTCCTCCAGGTGGGCCCGCTGGTGGCGCCGGTGCACCGTGCTGTGGGCGAAGGCCAGGCCGCAGATGCCGCAATGGCAGGGCCACTCCCCGGTGTAGGAGCGCTAGTGGTGCAGCAGCTCCGAGCTGCCGGGAAAGCCCTTCCCATTGGGCGCAGAGGTAAGGCCGATCAGGCTGGTGCGTGCGCCGGTGCTGCGCCAGGTTGGAGCCAGTGCTGAAGCCCTTGCCGCAGTCGGCGCAGCGGTAGGGTCGCTCACCAGTGCGGGGCTCTTGGCGAAGCTTTATTCCAGGGAGATGTAAGCTGCACCCAGCGGGCAGTTCAGACAGGGCTCAAAGAGCTTTCGGGAAGCAAATGAAATGCCCCATGTGGCAGGGAGCGGGAGTTGAATTAGCGGGCAGAACCCAGCCAGACCATCTCTTCCAATTCCTGACCTGGGGAATCTCCATGTGGTGTTATGTGCAGCTGTTCCCCAGCTGCCCCAACCCAGAGCTAGCTGCATCTCAGTGCCAGGTGAGCCACCCTGTGCAGTGTTATGTGCGGCTGTTCCCCAGCTGCCCCAACCCAGAGCTAGCTGCATTTCAGCATGGGGTGAACCACCCTCACGCAGGAAGCCCAGGTAAGGGGACAGCGTGGGGGACTCAGGGTGGGTTGGTGGGCTGTGATTCCTGCTCAATGTAGCCCCTTTCCACACACGGTCTGCAGCCTGCCCCTCCACCATCCCAGACACAAGAAGCAGTGAGTTCCGCAGGCCACACGGACTGATTTCCCCCTAACACCTACGGGCTCTCCTCTCCTGCATTAGAGTAATACCACATGAATCTCTGGCGCTGGCTGATGGCCTCTAAGGTATTGGGGTCCAGCTGCTGTGGGTCCACACATGATACCAGGAGGGGGCAATGCTAGAGGGCTGCCCCAGATCCCAGTGACACCAATGGCCCCAAATTCTCCCTCTGAGCCTGGCTGATAGCCCCCTCCTTGGGTCCTGCCTGCTGGGTGTGGAGGGTGGTGGGTATGGCGAATGTAGCCCAGGAGAGAGGATGGGGCACCTGCCTCTGAGATGCAGCCAGCTCTGGGATGGGGCCCCTGCGGGACAGCCACATATAACACTGCATAGGGATAGCTTGTCCGGCGCTGGGATGCGGAACAGCCGCATACAACACTGCAAAGAGATAGGATGACCCCCACTTCACCCCCCCCGCCAGGTTGGGGGCAATAAATCCGGTCCAGCTCTGGCACATCCATCCACCTGCAACTGCCCAGCTGACTTCCCCCCATCTGGCTGCCCCAGCTTCCTTCTCTGCCCCCACCCCCAGAGCAACCCCCTCCCCCCCAAAGCCCCCAGTACGCGCGGCTGGCCAGCTGCTGGTGCAAACCAGCATCACCCTGCTGGCTGCAATGCTGCACTGGCCACAGTCCACACCTGGGCACCTGGCCCCATTGACTCCAATGGAGTAATCCCATTGCAGGTAGGGCGTGACACCGGCTTGACCCCAGGGTTCTGGGAGCAGAATCCAGCCCTGTCCCCACTGCTATTGGGAGTGACTCCAGATTGACCCTGGGTTGAGGGGAAGGGGGCGCGGAGATCAGCGTTCAGTCCCGAGCACAAAGGAGATCTGGCTGGCGTTTGTGAGTCGCTCTGCAGACAGATTTCAGTTACACCATTGGGCCCGTTGCCCAGGTTTGCTCTGGATGTGCCCAGCCCAGCGGGCAATCCCTCCACTTGGCTTCCCAGAGCCCCTGGCCTCTCCAGCTCCACCTCAGCTGTGTGGCTTCTCCTGGGGCCAAAGCCACTCTGCCCCACCTACGAGCATGAAACTCACTGGCACTGGGGAGGAATGGAAAGTGAAACCCGGGCGGGGGAACCTTCACTCCCCAGCCGGGCATCCAGGGAGGTTTCAATCTGCCCTGGCAGCTCCTCTGCCCAGCTGGGCCTGAGCCAAGGAGGTGTCGGAGGAGTGTGAGCCCGCAGAGGG